AATGGGCACAGAGTAGGACACTAAGGTGCTTGGAAGCATGAAGGGGACAGCAGAGCCCAGCAAACAATGGGCAGAACTTCAGTTTGGTATCAAAGATAAGAACAAGCCAGGGAAGGTGTCACGTGTTTGGAATATTTTTTTTTAAATTATAAGTAGGGCAAGCTGAGTTCTAGAGATAGCATGAAATACATGTTAAGGAGAAGCTGGAACAGACAAGGCATCACGGTGAAGGCACAAGAGCAATTTGGGAGGTGGGGGGGAGTGATCCCTGAAATAAGGTTCTGGAGATCCTGTGAAAAATAACCAGCATGACCCCAGCATGGTGGGATTGAAAATTGGGGGAGAGTAAAAGGTTATGTACTCTGGTACCAAAGCATAAGGGACAGGGAAAATACTGAATCTGCCAACAGTTAAGACAGGAGGAAAAGAGCGGGAACTTTCTTGACACAAAGAGAGTTACTTTCAATCATGATGCCACTAAACTTTCCATATGTCTCTGAAAGTGTTTGTTGAAGCATGACTTATGTTATTTTCAAAACATTTTTGCATTCCAAGATATAATACTGCTGGAGACCTCTGCAGATGTTTCTATTCTTCAACCTTTTTTTCAAGGTGACTAATAACCCATGGAATTTCAGGGGATTTGACCATGTAAATACCTTTGCTTCCCTTTGGTAATCTGCTACCTTATGATAATGGATACATAGAGAACCAAATTCTTACCTGATTTAGCTCAGATACTGCAATTTATGAAGGAAATCTACTAGGCTATCACCTAAAATGTTTGAAAAATATCTATGATTAGAATAAATATATGTAATAGACATCTGAAGTTGTTTTTTTTTTACTTAACCATTAGGGCTTGGTTTTGTTTGTTTTTGTTTGGGTTTGTGTTTTGTTTTGGTTTTTAATTAACTGTGCCTGAATCAATCTTTAAATGTTAATTTAGTTAGGAGCAAGGAGTATCATCTCAGATGTTATTTAAATGTTTCCTCTTACCAAGCCATATTATTTTAAACAATTGGTAGGTGAGTCACTTGCAGAGCTCTCTGCAGAACTGAAGATTAATACTGTTTTCTCTAGCATAAGACATTAAAATTCATCCTCTAGAAAAACAAATGAGAACACTGACTATCCTTCTGGGAAAATGCAAACAATTCCATAAAGTCAGGGGAAGTTTACATTACAATTCTCATATAAAATTCAGACAAGTGTAATCACAAAAGCCACACCAAAACAAAAAAGGTTTAATACAGGTGAATGTCAAAGCCAAACAAGAAAAAGGCAGTGAAGCTGCACCTCATCTGGGTGACTTCAACATAACAAATCTGCACACATGCAAGGAATTTAAAATGAGGGAAGAATCTGAATGTGAACAAAACTGAAATTAAAATCAAACTTTAGAAAAACTTTAGAAAAGGATTAAACGCAGGGTTTGAGAGATGTAGAGAATTCTGATGTTTAACAATCATGGGCAAATGTTCACAGTCCTGGATGGTCACTTGGCAGCTCTGAATGAGCAGCATTATATTTCACAGGAGCTGGTGAAGATCCTCCAACAAAACCTTTTAAGGATGTGAATGTAAGATTCAATTATTTTACTTCTTTCTAGACAATCAAAGCTCAGCAAGCAGTAAAGTAGATGCTGGTGAAAAATGCAGGGAAGAGAAAGGCAAAGTCACAAAGATTTCCAAATAATAACTAGCATTTAACTCTGAGCAGCACTTAAACAAAGAGAAACAAAATATTTACAGTAGCAGAAATTATAAAATACTGGGACCTAGAAAAACAAAAGTAGTAAGAACAAGTCAGTCAGTACAAAAATTCAATTGCGTAGTTACCAAGGCTAGATGTAATTTCAGAAATCTGAGAAAAAGGACTTCCAAAATGAAGAAGGAATTACAAATTGTAAAAGAGGTGGTAGGAATTACCATCAGAGAAATCACAAACAGAAAAGAAACTGTGTAATCTAATCAGAGTGCTGAGAACTGAGGAATAAAAAATGGAGGACATGCTTGGCTGGGCTTTCTTAAAAATGTTCTTAGCCACTGATTAATGACTGATCAGAACTACTTAACATAAAAACATTACAGTAGAAGGGGTAATGTGACCCAAACTGTCAATATTTGGTATCCTACTCTTCCTGTTGCACCATTGGTTATATAGTACTGGCTATCTAAATTGACTTTAATAAATAGGACACTGAAGTGACTATTTAAAAGGCAGACCAATTTTTTTTTTTTTTAGAGTAATAAATTCTGAAGATAATTAATCTGTATATCTAAGAGTTTATTTATTGGTTTGGGACTTACAGTGAAGCATTATGTTCAGTTTTATTTGAGCTGATTTATTTATTGTTCCTACAGTATTTGCTTCTGGAAATTGCAAAGTGAAGGTGGGATAGGGGACAGAAAAAAGACTCAGAATTTGCCCTTGAGTTTCAACCCATTTTGGGTTGAAAATAAACTTTATTTTAAAAATTAACTTGTCTTAGGTGATGATCTTCAAATCATGGGCTCTTAGTGTTAGCAACTCATTTAAATAGCCACACAGTAAAAATAGTTGGGCAGCATTGTATTTTAATGACAGTTTTCCCCATGAGAATTGCAAGATCATAGAATCATAGAACTATTCAGGTTGGAAAAGACCCTTGGGATCACAGAGTCCAACCATAATCCCTACTCTACAAAGTTCTCCCCTAAACCACATCCACCAACACCACATCCAAATGACGCTTAAACACATCCAGGTATGGTGACTCAACCACCTCCCTGGGCAGCCTATTCCAGTGTCTAACCACTCTTCCTGTGATAAAATTTTTCCTAATGTCCAGTCTAAACCTCCCCTGTTGCAGCTTGAGCCATTCCCTCTTGTTCTGTCATTAATTACCTGTGAGAAGAGACCAGCACCAACCTCTCCACAATGACCTGTAGAGACTGATGAGGTCTCCCCTCAGCCTCCTCTTCCTCAAACTAAACATTCCCAGCTCCTTCAAGTGTTCTTCATAAGATTTATTCTCCAGGCCCTTCACCAGCTTCGTTGTCCTCCTCTGTACTCACTCCAGCACCTCGCTATCTCTCTTGAATTGAGGTGCCCAAAACTGGACGCAATACTCCAGGTGTGGCCTCACCAGTGCTGAGTACAGGGGGACAATCACCTCTCTCCTTCTGCTGGTCACACTATTTCTAACACAAGCCAGGATGCCATTGGCTTTCTTGGCCACCTGGGCACACTGCTGGCTCATATTCAGCTGCTTGTCAATTAGAACCCCCAGGTCCTTTTCTGCCAGACACTTTCCAGCCACACTTCCCCAAGCCTGTAGCATTGCAAAGATCTTATTCCATCAATAAAATCAGAATTACTGCCATGTATAAATGGTAGTCTAAATCCATGTGTATCGAAGAAGTCCATGGCATTAGAAGAAAAAAGGAAAAAATACATATTGATCTGGAATTTGAGCACTTAAAAATTGCTCTGCCCAGTTTCATTTGATACATGGATAATTTCAACTGCTTACCTTTAGATTAACAATATTAGTAGTGGTGTTCTCAGAATCAACACCAGATACTTGAATAATCCTCACAGATGTTAGCACTGTAAATAGGAGAGGTACTGTCATTCCTACAAAATAAACACATCATAGGATGGAAATAAAAAAAAAAAAAATTCCTTCAAGATGTTAAAAGTGTAAACACAGGCTCTTGCAGTAACCATATGGAGTACTACAGTGTGAAATTAAAAAGCTGGGGAAAGAAGTCAGATTGTAAAGTACAAGGAAAAGGGGAGTTGGTAAGTCTGTCATTTAACTTTGAGGATAAATATCCTAAATAATGGAATCTTTAGGAATAATGTAAAGATGGCAAAGGAGACAAACTACTCAAATAGAGTGGAAAATAGGGACAAAGAGACCTAGAAATGAAAGCAGGAATTTTGAGTTCTCTTTAGAGTCAAGTCAAAGAACATCTCTAAAATTTGTAACAGGGATATGGGCTCTAAAAAAGCCTCAGCAGTTAAACAAAGTCATTAAGTTCAGTGATCGTGTGATCACTGTTTAGTAAGTCATAAAAACCAAACCAGGAATCAAAAGCGAACATCAGATGGTAATTTAACCAACGGAATAGAAAAGGGGATGTGGCACATTCTTCATTATCTCAAATCCTTAAATGATGGTGTAATACGTGCATTTGTTCAGGGTTTCTGGGCTGTGGGTGCTGACCCCTCCCTTTTTCCAGTGTCAGAAAATGCAATCAGGGAGTTAGGAAGCATTGCAAATTTACTGCACTCTTCCCTACTCTGCACACCCTTAGTCTTCAAGGTCAAGTAACTTCATCAACCTCTCAAAGCTCTCCCCGATTATATAGACTTACGATCAATAATAATTCTTATACTATTTTATAATAAATTGTGAAAATCTGACTTAAATGAGAAACTTAAGCCTAAGAAACTCTAAAAGGGCTCATGTAGTTCTGGGCGCTGTATGTAGTGGCAAAACAGTGAAACAAATACATCATTATACACATGAGCGGATGGAAGTCTGTACTGTTACTGGCTATGACTATTTTTTAAGTAACCATTTGTAACGAAAATGAAGCATGGAACTACTTTTATGAGGGATAAAAACTTAAATGTTCAGTCAGGAACACTGTTTTGTACTTGGCTGTTTCTCTAGTGTGGCATTACTTCTACCGTGGACAAGTTCTGTGTGTACAGGCTGCAGCTGCTGCTTGTCTTCACTTCGGGTTTTAACAGCAAGTTGTTTCTTGTGCTGATTACTTTTGTGTTAAGATACTAACACTGAAGTCACGCTGTAGGTACCACTTAAAAGCCACTTGTTAGAGATTAAAACAGCACTTTATTTTTAAAAACTCTGAAGTAAATTTACCAATGTATTACATGTGCATGATAAAGGTTTAAATTAACTTGTATATATTGTAGCTAAAGGTAACAGGCCTTAAAAAGTTAAAATATCGTATCTTAAATCTGACAGTGAGAACTTGTAATTACATTGTGTATCCTGGAAGCTTGCTTATTACAAGTTCACTGATGTCTTTGTATTGATTAGGAACATGGAGTTTTCCCAGAAAATCATCCTCTTTGTCTGACATACTGTTTTCCAGGACACCAAGTTCAAGATCAGACACCTCAGATGGCAAGTAAGAGCTAACTGGAGTTACTGACTGGCTTTTTCCTGCAGAGGTCTGCCCCTTTCCAATATTCAGATCAGTATCAGAGATAACTTGTTTGCTTCTTAGTGTTGATACTTGTTCAATGTGCTGATCACCCCTGCTCTTTTCCTTACTGATCTGTTGGGCTTCCTGCTCTTCATCTGCTAACGATTCCTCCATTTGAGCAAGGTTAAGTGAATCAACAGATTCACCACTAATTCTCTTAGTGTTTTTTAAGTTGTGGTTTCTCTTTAAAGACTGGACTGGAGATGAAGATGAAGGAATGGGCAGAAGATTGGAAGTACTTTCAGCTCTTTGACTTATCTTTGAAATTCTGGACCTGGTGGATTCAGGCTCTGAATCTGACCAACCTCGCCTTGGGCTTTCAAGCCACACAGGTTCAGGATTGTTGTCAAGAGCTTCTGATTCTTTGCCTGTACACTCAGCACTGGTAAAATCATCTGAATAAACTGTGTTCTCAGGACTAGCAATGAAGTCGTCCGAGTATATGAATTCAGAGCTGTTTTCAACACTCCTGCTGGAGCTTGGTTTATGATTGCTCACAACAGACACATCATCATGCTCCATGGTTTTTAATCCTACCTCGTTACTTCCCTTTGCATTAGCATCTGATGGGAAAGCTGCTGAGAGAATGGGTTTTCCATACTTTTCCTTGGGAGCAGATTTTAATACAGATTCATCCACAAAGGGGTCTGTAGTTACTTGGTATGGACATTCCTTGCTTACAATTTCATCACTCTTTGCTAGACTTTCAATAGCCTGTTTCTGCAGGTCAGAGGACACATCTGTCATGGAAATGTACTCTCTGAGAGCACCGTTTTGTAATGGAGTCTCAGTAGCTTTATGAAACTGATCATTCTGCTCTGAATTGTCTTTCTTGCTACAATGCCTGTAAGAAACCACATTCTGTTCTCCAGTGTTTCTGTGAAGCTTTCTTTTGGATAAAGGGCTTCTCTTCTTCAGCATCTCCATTTGCTTTTTCCTGTATTGCTCTCTCCTTTCATGAATTACCAGCTTATCAGGGTTGGTCTTCTGCAGCCGTAGCCTCAGTGTATTTGTTAGGCCGTACAACAGTTTCCTTCTGGGTGGTCTGTTTTCTTTAGCTTTGCAGTTCCTTTCAAATTCTGTCTCTTCCTGGGCTACAGCTTTCTTATGTTCTTTCCCAGCCCAAGAAGGTCCTGGTGAGGTGGCCTCTTGTAAGCCCTTCTTGAATTGAGGGCTGGCAGCTCCACTCTTCCCACCTGGCTCCACAGGTGCCTGCACAGGCTTGAGGGCAGAGTGGCTGGGGGGCCGTGCAGCCGTGCTACCACCCCCTGGGGCCTGGTAGAGCCAGGCCAGATGAGGGTGGACAGCAGCAGGCACAGCACTGTTGGCAACCACCGACAGCTCTGCCAGCAGGGCGCTAAGTAGTGGCAGCTGCGCCAGGGTGTTGTGGAGCTGTTGAGGGCTGGAGAGGTGCAGGAGCGAGGGCCCAGCGCTGGGACGCGGGGGGTTCTGGCCCTCGTCTTTCTCCGGTGGTCTCCAGGCCTCGACGCGCTCCCACTTCCCCGTGGCCGCTGCTGCTGGCGGCGGACGAGGCTCAGCAGGCTCACGGCTGTAATACAGCGCGGGAGGGCAAAAGATGTTGCCCCCCAGCTCCTCCC